ATTGCAGTTGTATGTCTCATGCGAAAGCGCTTATTTTTTTCCGGTGCGAAAAAAACTGCACGTTGACAATGTGCAGGTTTTCCTCAATGCAGAGTGGTTGTCAGCGTAACTCGACAAAAACGTGCTGTTTTTTATGAGATTGGTGGCCTGGGGTTTCTGGGAACAGACCTTGCGGTACTACACCTCGCACCACGAGCTTGCGTCAGACCACCGAGCCGGAAAGGCCTGTACTCCTGTTGCTGCCGTGACGTGGCCCGGCTCCCTGGTCGCGGTCAGTGTCACAGAGCCAGGGGCCGGCCTGTTGCCGCAGTGACGGCCTGGTTCAGCGGCTGAGCCAGGAGAAAGCCTGTGGCGGCAGCGAATTAGCTCTGGCATCCACGTGCTTATACCGTACCTTGCTGTACGGCATGTATGGGTTGTATGGATTCAGATGTGGGGTGGGGCTGTGTGTCACTTAACGTCTTGCTAGCCGGTTTAACGCAACGTATCTAATTGTTTCTCCTTACTTTGTGCCGTATACCATAAGTTGCTTAACGTGGACTACGGCCTGGTTTTTAGTCAAAAAAGATCCCACCAACGGGTGTGGCTGTAAGTGCATCAGACAAAAACAACTTCTGGCGCACCCATATCTCAGGCAGCCCCCATCAAAGTACGTCGGTATCACAACCGTCGCGTTTCTCACTTTCCATACTTCCCATACGGTTCATGTGTTACAGGCCTGCTTTTCACGGAGCTGTGCACCGAATTCTACCAGGCCAATTTCGATGAGCATGTACTCAGAGGGAAGATCGTTTAGTTGTCTTTAAACAAAAACGGCCGATGGACCTCTCTCTGCCTTAGAAGCCAAACACTCACGGGCACCGGGTCAGAGTTTTCGTGCAGGGTACGACGGGCTTTTTCCGACTTTCGCGGCATGTTGAGAAGTCTCAGCGGCGCAATCGAAATGCGTCGGATGCGTCACGGAAAGATTGTGTGATCGCAGCTGGGGCATTCTAAAACTGTTCTATCTGTTTCCCACGTAGTGTGCTGAAATGTTTGCTATCAGCCAAGATGTGCTGACAGTGAAATGTAGTGTAAAACCCCTCGGGAATTTCTTACAGAAATTCGGGGTACGACGTTAATTTTTAGATACATTCACTACTGTTGCACCTGTGTCATCCTACGTTCAGTAACCGGTTGCCAAATACTTGGCATTAGCTGGAAATGCATCGTACATTGCACATCTAGCGTATTATGCTGGAGTGTTTGCTTGCACCTTATGCTGGAACGTTTGTGAGTAAAAATTTGTACTTTGTACTTGTACTCTTTGTTCTACTCAGTATCTACTTCCATGCATCTCAGGCGCCTTTCCCATTTCAGAACACTGTGGACAAGCTCGTGCAGCGCGCGAACGCCTCGTTCCTGGTGGGCACCTCGTCGTGGAAGGAACAGTTCATCGATGCCGTCACCGTTTCGGCCGGTAAGAAGTGCTAGGCGTCGACTGTGCTCGGCCCTGGTGGGTTGCCTACACGGGCACAGCTGAACGATTGGGCCTCCTGGGCAGCTGGGGTAGTGCCAGACTGCACGGCACTGTGCATAACAGGCTGCTGTCATCGCCAGATTATCAGCTTAGCAGGTACATATTCATGTGTACTGGGCAGTACCCATCACATCTCGAATCACTTCATGTTTGGCGAATTTCGACATTTAGGTCGGTATCAGTGGTGTTGTCTTACGGTATTTGCGGCTAGATGGCCCAAATATCGATTCTGAATCGATGTTTTCTCTTCGCTATGACGCATCCTGATCGCCTCAAGGAAAAAAGGCGTAGGTCGCGGCTGATACAAATCAAGTTGTTTCGGTATAAAGGTCGATAAAAATAGTGCGTTTTGTAATACGTAAATGAACATCACATAATATGCTTTAAACGAGCTTGATCGTGGTCATTGAAATTTATTATTCCGAGGAGGAAAGTCATCATTATTTGGTGCGCCGCGATTTAGATGCGTTTGGAAACCGGTCTCAAGATCAGATGTAATGAAATCATCGTTGGGTTTGGAATGATTCTTTCATTTCTTGCGTGTACTCATTTTATTGAGGTTTATGTATTAAAAGCAAAATGTATGATGCGTAAGCTATGTTGAAAGTCGCATCGAGGCTCGTGGGTAAGTGACTGATAAATCCTGTGATTTTTAGCCGTTGAGACGCCTGCAAACCCAAAGATTTTCTGTTTTCAGGCTTTGTTGTATCGCCCGATGAATGGCGGTGTGCTTTGACTTGCATCAGCGCTACTCAGCGGACATACCAAAGCTGTGTGCAGTCAGCAAAACCGTGATGCTGCCTTGTCTGATCCCTTTTAACGAATCCGCCATAATAGAAGACGTAAGATGACCTCGGTCAAGGCTGTAGACCACGTACAGAGTCGTTGTCTCCATTCCGAGTGTATGCTCTAGCGCATCGGGCGTCGAATCGGTCGGCGTTCTCACCGGTCGGCTGTTGGTCACACCAACCCAGGGTAATATATGCCGGAAATAACGCGGTTCAGTATATAAATTACAGCATAGCATTCAACCACTATAGCATGTGCAAGTGTGGGTTAAAACTTTAGTTTACACGTTTGGCAACCTATACTGGAAGGTAGCGTATCGCAGAAGCTGCAATGGTGAACGCACCTAAATTTCAAGTGAAAATTATGTGCAGAGTTTGATCAAGAAACTCCCCGAAAATTGTACACTTCAGTACACTGATGACATGTATCGGCCGTTAGCCAAGCATCCAGCGTATTCCATGGGTGACTGATAGAAGTAGTCTTGTCGGCCCCGCGTTGAACACATAACTTTGTAACTAGAGATCCGACAGGCTACCGACGTGGCTACTGAGATCGTGCAACACATCCCAAATTCGGAAAATTCACGGCGTACCACGCATGGAAATTTTGACCGGGCATGCCGTGAGAGTCTGGCTTCTGTAGGCAAAAACTGGTCAATAAATCTGCACAAAGTAAGAAAACTTTAGTTCTTTTGGTGCCTGGTGCATTGCAATTGTCGGGAGAGAATTCGGTGTACAGCTCCGCAAAACAGGCCTTCAACACGTGAATCCTATGGGCTGGAAGGACAAACGCGCCATTGAACGGCTGAGCTGCCGACGTGGCTTGGTGTGGGCTTGTGTCAACCCCCCGCGGTTTGCCCTCCGTGTAGCCTGGTTTGTAGAGGCTGGCATATGGCGTGGCAACCCAACATCGCCGTTACGTGTCTGCTCATTGGCGGCCAATCGGCAAAAGGCCACGAGAGCTACGCTGAAATTGGTGTTGCTCTGCCACGGTATTGTGCGGCACGTTAAACTCTGCCGTCAAAGCTTGTCTGCGACAGTTGAATCTCCACCATCACCACTAGGTTGGTGAAGCCAGTGCCTTTGCAGATATACTAAGCTAAGCTTACTCAGCTATCCTTTATGAGAACTGTGCGGCATAATCTCTTGATCCTTTGATGTATTTATCTTCGCCAGACCTTTCGCCTCGCGTCAAAATAGTTCTTTGCCAGGAGTTTTCGCCTCGCGTCATAATAGTTCTGCAGACTTTTGCCTCAGACGAGCCCTATGAAATGAGCACGCGGTAGCGGTGTGCTTTCGCTGAAACGATGTCTTCACCGACAATATTTAACAGTTGCCTTTTATTGCCTTTGGTGGCGACCTGACGGCGTGGTCTGTAGCCTTGAACCCAACCGCCTAATTATTTGGCGGTGATCGATTTTGCGATAAAATCTGTTAATGGTCTTGAAAGATGGTGTGGAAGCTATAAAACGCGTTAATGCATTCCATATGCAACCATCATGATTTCATAAATCTAGCGAAATGAGCATGTCTTATTTGATATCCGTCCGCGACGAATCCTCATGTGGGCAGGCACGAAATACCGGATTGAGCTTCGGTTGCGGCCATATCGGATAACGACTTGGGTTGGAAGCATAGGCGCAAGAATGTCCAAAGAGGAGTAAAATGTGCTATGCGTGGGGCTCCTCGCAATGGTGTTGGTCATGCTTTAGTGAGCCGGCGAGAGCTGTCTTTGAATTAAGAATATTAGCTGATGAATATTAGATCGGCTAGTGAGAGCTGTTCCTGGTTCTGACACATGGCCGGAGCTGCGCCGGAGCTGCGAAAATCCAGAGTGGGGTTGCCGGTGATCCATTTCAATTTTTGTCATTTTGGCACCGGATTTTCGTGATGTATTTACCAATCTAATATGCCATAGGTACACCCGTTTGTTCGTATTATGAGTCCGTGTTGACGTTTATGCGGTACATTTAAATATTTACACATATTTGAGGAGCGGTGTTAACAAACATCATATGTGCTTGGGCCGACTTAAGAATGGTTTTTTACTTGCAGGTGCGTAAAGTTTCGCTGTAATGTTCTGCTTAAATCGGCATTTTTCCTTGGCTTAAAGCTTTCCGGAACGCTGTAATAATTCCGTAAAGTTTCGCCGCTCAATAGGAAACGCGCGGTTGCTACCGGCTCAATGCCTTTGCCGTGTGGTACAAGAGGGATGCTGAGTCTGGAGTGATTTGAGCGGAGATTTCTAGCGCTAGCGCCTTATATCGATCTTTTTTGGCTGATTTGATACTCCATCAGTTTTTGCGTCTGTTCGTGTTTATGACAGCACTAAGCCATTGCATATGACGTATGTTTACTTTTAAGACTGGAAGACATTGAAAAAGAGCGATTGGTGCCGTGTTCAGGTAAAACGTGTTACATGTTATGCTAATCCGACGGAAGCCTCGCATAGCTAATAACACGTCGGTACATGCGTTAGATTTCTTCCCGTCAGCAACGGTTAAGCTGAGCTTACATGTGGATAAGTGCTGCTGCTCTTCCATAGCTTCCCCGTTGAACCCAAAGCTGGCAGAAACCACACCTATTGAAACCAGACGTGACTTTTCGGTACGTCCACCTCACGATATGAAGTCACACATAAACTGAGCGTAGTTCAACTGTTATCTTCCGTCGAATTTTACGATGCCTCGTCTTTCGGACAGTTGTACGAAAGGCATGACAAACTGAACTCCGAGCCCATACATGGATGGCGCATCATTTCGAAATGAAGGACTTTTCTTTTTCTCAGTTTTGTTTTAGATTCCGATGTGGCACGTGCTTCAGTCTGCATGCACCATAGTTCCCGATTCGTTTCAGTCGTATAGAATCTGGATTTTACTTTGTAAATGAAGGACTAAAATAATGTGCAAGTGCCCGTAAAAATAGTGCAAATGCCCTTCACAGCGATCACCGAGGACACCTTACTGTGTTAAAAGAACAGGTTTGGAGCATACGCTTATGTTTGTGGCTTTTGTATCTGGTTGTCGTGTTAACCAGACGCACAACACAGACGTCTTCGTAGACCCTGGTGAAATTAACATGAGTGCGACAAATATTTGACGCCTTCTTGGCTCGCCAGCACACTACATCCTGATCATTTCCCAAAGCGGCCGTTCTCATGGTGTGCGGTTCTCTTTCAAGCACATCGACACCGCCTGCGGCATGTTTCGTTCGCTGTGATTGAGTTGATGTAGCAATGAACATTTTTCTGATAATCCAAAGCTTTTTATGTTACAAAAATGTGAAATCCTTGTAAAGGTGTGCACGCTTATTTACCCTTACTTGCTCTTGTACTAGTGAGTGCCTTGAAACAGGCAAAGAACTCTATCAATCGATCAAATCCCTGAAATGCCGCGAGAGACCACCAGTCTCGTGAGGCACGCCAAGTCCTTCAGGTGACTCACCCCCGTCAGGATATCATGCAACCCTCCACTGGATGTTGTAGGCAGGTGTCGAAGGGTTCGACCGATCATGACAAAATCAGAAGTAACTGAATTTCCTGAGAGACCGGAACCCTCCATGTACGGATGATTAACGCTTTTGATATTGTTCAAACGTTATAAGATGCACCCATTCAATCTACTTGCACAGCTCGCGTGCCACAAAACACAACATCGTGGAGGTCAAACCCTGTGGGCACTAACTAATGCACCAATAACACGTATATCCGCCCGCAGGGGACGATGACGATGCTGTGGGAGGCGAGGACGACAAAGAGAGGGGAGAGGCGGGCGATTCGGAGAAACAGCCCAGCTGCGCCGACTACATCATGCACTTCATCACCGTCTTCTGGAAGGTGCTGTTCGCCTTTGTGCCTCCGACAGGTGGGTGCACAACGCTTCCGATGAGCCGTCTGACCTTCGAGATCCGTTGGGCGGTAATGGTAGCGGTGGCGCTAGACTGGTACCTACTCTCCGTTCTAGCGGAGCGTTGTGTCGCATCACTCCATGTTTACGCCAGGTCGGCCGGTGCGGGGCAGCGGGATAGACCGTAAACCAGATGGATCGGGCAGGGCCTCAGGCGACTGTCGGGACCGCCGGTCGTGAATGCTGACGTATGGGTTGTGCTGTTCTTCAATAATGTCTGGTCTGTTCGGCAGGCCCTTACCTGCACTCCCCTATGCAGTGTTAACGACGTAAGAAGCTATCTTTTGGCATATTACGTGCCGGCTACAAATAACGGCCTGTCGTTAGTGCAGACTGCGATGCTATATCCGGCCTGGAGTGACACAAGTCAGTGCGTAATGCGAAGCGTGCCGCTGTCCGACCGCGTATGACCAACACCCGCGGAACGGTGTGCCCCGCTCGATCGATACCCGGAGCTGTGACCTCAGTGTGGCCCTGAACGATGTGCCCACACGCCCCCGACGCCCGCAGATGTGACCTCAGTGTGGCCCTGTCGCCGCGTCTCACCCGTGTCTAACGCTGACACGCCTGTCCTGCAGACGTGTACAACGGTTACCCGTGTTTCGTTGTGTCGATACTGGGCATCGGCCTACTGACGGCCGTCATAGGTGACGCGGCGTCACACTTCGGGTGTACCATCCAGCTGCGCGACTCCGTTACGGCCATTTCCATCGTGGCGCTGGGCACCAGTGTTCCAGGTACCCAGGCGGCGGGAGAGGCGCTGCAGGTGGTGGCACAGGTGGCTCGCCCTCTCCCCGGCTGGGTGCACGCGGAGGCCCGGAGGCGGCTGCTTTCCCTCTCGCTCTCCTCCCCTTCCCCCTCTCTCCACCCTTCTGTTCTTTTTATCCCTCTTGCTTTTGCCCATTTCTCTTTTACCTTCCCTTTTTGTTCCTTCTTCACTTTGTCCTACCTCTTTTGCTTTCACTTTCTCCTCCCTCCACTCTTTTTTTCTCCTACACTCTCTGTTGCACTGCGCTGTCCATTTGCAACCTCCATATACACCTGCCGGTTTGCAAAGCGTATGACATAATCTGGCAATGACCTGCTACCTCTAAATGCACCGCTGCTTGTTGACACAGTCATGCAACCCTCACTTCTCCGTCCCTCAAGCGTTCATACCTATTCTGCGAGCTTGAGTTCCTAGCGGCTGCCCGCAGATATTCCGGCAAACGTGTGATCTCAGCTGCTATCCCGCACACGTGGCGGTCTGACCTCTGCTACTCCCCGGAGATGTGTCCTTAAAGCATGTGATCACTGTACTTCCCGCCACCGTGCCCTCATGGCGTCTGACACGTGCCCTCCATGGCTCGATCACTGTTACTTCCCGCAGACTGTTTCCCATTCAGTGGCGTTTCTTGATAACTGCTACTTCCCGCAGACGTGCCCTCATGGCGTCTGATCACTGCTACTTCCCGCACCACGTGCCCTCATGGCGTCTGATCACTGTTACTTCCGCAGACGTGCCCTCATGGCGTCTGATCACTGTTACTTCCCGCAGACGTACCCTCAAGACATCCGAACCCTGCCTCTCCCCGAAGACGTCTCCTCAAATCGTTTGATCCTGCTGCTCCTCGGAGACGTGCTCTCGAGACGTTATGACCCTGCTACTCCCCGCAGATGCGTTCCCCCGAGCGTCTGATCCCTGCTGATCCCTCAGGCGTGCCCTCGAGGCGTCTGATCTCTAACCGCTCCCCACAGACAAAGGTTCTCGCTACCCCACGTTTGTGTTAGCCATCCTGTGTATCGCTGGATTGACAGTCGTCATTGGTAACGCGGCCTCACATTTCTGATCCACCGTAGATCTCAAAAACGCCTTCAATGCCATTTCGCTCGTTGCGTTAGGTAGTTCCGTGCCAGGTGGGCTGTTTACCGGGCAGAGGTCATTCTCTATAACGCGAGTGGTTCCGACTTCTGCGTGATCGTGGATTCACCGAACCGAAGTCAGGGACCAGCGCGCCGCCTTTTGCTGGTTCCGTTTGTGGTGTACTGGTTATATTAAGCTGATGGCCATTGCCGTTCTTAGTTTTGAAAAACCTTCATAATGCGGACATTGCTTATATCGGTCATCTTTCTTCGCTGCTTTATTCTCCGACGTTGAACCTCGTCCGGCATCGAAACATAAATTACCAATACTTTTATCGACGTCAGCTTTGTGCGCATCTTCCCAACGACATCAGTAAGTCTGGATTGCGATCATGATACGAACATTTGTCGTCAGTGATGCGAGCTCGCCCACATGTCAGCCAGCTGTGTGTCCGGCCGTCGTTAGGAGTAAGCTGGTCCCAAGAAAGACTATATGATGGTGGGCACGTAACCAAAGTGCATATCTTATGCAAGACACCCAACATCTGAAGCCCCTCACATGGGTGACCTTCACGTAGTGGTAGCTGCGGAAATGATTGTCAGAAAAGCCGTGTGCGGCCAGACATCGTCGACAGGGACGTTATCCTGGCTTCCATCTATTCTCAAGCATTGTGTAAAACAACAAACAAGTATGCTGTTGCGCAAGCGTAGTCAGTGGTTCGGTTTTGCGTCAGCTGATGTCCTCCTGATGCTGAAAACTAGACCATTGAGAAATATTCCGGGTTTGGAAACAACAGCTGACGTTTTACTATAGGACTGGAAAATCCCCTAATTGATCTAGTTGTCGTAGAATATGGTATCAGCGTGACAGCAGCTAGAGGTATATTTTTCGGTAGTAAACGAACGCTTTTATTTGAATTTTCGTTGGCAACATTAATCTTGAAACGCATCCTGACTATCATGGCAGACGGAAGCATGCGTGGCAAGCTATCGTTGTTCCCCCTTCTGACGTGGTTGCGAATCCTCGAATGGTCAGGACTTTCAAACAAACATTTGGCGTGTGCTATGTGTTCTGGTGGCGGGAGGGCACTGGGCTCAATGATTTGATCTTAGATCTCTCGACATGTTCAATAGTAATTGATGCGTCCTTTAGCGATTTCATGTGTTAGTCTGGCCGTCCGCTTTCAGCTGTTAATCACAGGCTTGACCGGCAGAGGTGACATGGCTTGCCAAAGGTTGTTATCATTGCAGACATTTTCTTGATCGCGCTTTCACCATTGACACTACAGAACGGAAGTAATTGTTCGTTTGAGACGAGTCCTCCTCCTTGGGGATAACAGCAGCAGCGGAAGCTACAATCCTGGCAGGGATTCCTCGCGTAGACACGTCGCCTGCAACGTGTCCACTATTGATCATGAGCTGCCACCGGTATACCTGCGTGAACCAGCTGGGTGGCAGGACATCGATAAGTACCTGGGCTCTGCAGTGTCAGCAGCCGCTCTCCCCTCACTGTCCTCCGCTGGCCGCCCGACTGCGAGTCAGGCCATGTTGTCGTTGCCCGTGTCTCAGGGAACAGCTTTGCGGTGCTGTGTTGCCAGTGTTACGCGCATATTCAGACTCCAGCGTGCAAAATAGCAATGGCTGTTTTGGGGGCAGCCAAGTAAAGGAATGGAAGGCATGAAGCCACAGGGCGGACGGAACGCTGGCATCATGGCGAGCTAAGCGCGACGGCGTCGAGGGACAGCGTCTGCAGCAGACGATCCTCTGTCCATGAGCGACCTGCCACCGAGACGTCCGGGCGCCTGCTCCACTGTCGGACCGTAGTACAGTTTTGTCGGACTGTAGTTCGTCTCCCGCAGGCTGCTGGCAGGCGCCTCCGCGGAGATGAGCGGTGTTCGGACCGGCGTCACCATTCACCTCTCGCTCTAAGACAGCCCCCCTCCCCCCGCCCCCCTCCCGCTAGCCCACTAACACGGCGGTGGCGGCGGCCGGCAGAGCTGCGCAGCGGCTACCCCTGTTTCATTGTGTCGATCGCGCTGATCGGCCTGCTGACGGCCATGATCGGCGACCTGGCCTCGCACTTCGGCTGCACGGTCGGCCTGCATGACAGCGTGACGGCCATCTCCGTGGTGGCGCTGGGCACCAGCGTGCCAGGTACACGAGGCCGGGCCGGCCGTCGCATGCGACCCGCTCCCTCGCCCTGCCCCACAGTCCCGCCCGCGCAACCGCCCGTCCCGTGAGGCTCCCGCTGTTGGCGTCCGGTTAGCGGTGCGCTGCCGCACATTTGCGAACTGTTCTTCGTAAGCTGGCCCGGCTTCAGTACCGTGACCTGGCCGGACCTCGCATGCACTCAGGGGTGGTCATTTTTTGTTGCATGTTGCTCCGTTGTTGATGAGGACGGGTTGGCAAAAAGTTCGGCGTTTTGGTGGGATGAATGTTGCGGTAGTGTCGAGCGCACGTGCTCTTCTAGCAGGCGCCTGGTGCTATGTTGCACCGTGAGTCGGGAGCCCGCAGCCTCATTCGAAGCTCTGGTCGGGAAAAGTTAGAAACCGAGGCTTTGTAGGCGTCTTTTTGACTGCTTGAATAAGAGACATCGGTGTTCAGACGTAAGTCCTAGATTTTCCACCAATCCACCTTACACCACGTCCAAACTGATGCTCGTCTAAGAAAATGGGTTGTGATGGTGGTGATTTTCATAATGAGCGTGCCGACCGGCCGAGGAGCTTCCCGGAGACCCGGGTCGGACAGACCCTTGCCTTGTTCCTGTAGCACCCTTAACCTACATACCTTCCTGCATAACTATCTGCGTGGTGGTCATAGCATGAACCACGTTCATGCGATATGGGGCATGTTGCTATGTATCGGTTTGCACGCTCTCTTTTCCTTTCATTACCCCCCCCCCCCCCTCTCTCTCTCTCTCTCTCTCTCTCTTTCTCTTTTTCTTTTTTTCTCTCTCTCGCTCTCTATGCGCAGAAACGTCAGTGTATTGAAGTGTGTATTAAGCGAGCGTGCCCTGATATGACTTTTGTGTGCTCCGACAAATAGCAAGCAATCTGCGCCAGCAGTCACCAGTGTACTTTTTGACACCTCAGTAGCCCAGTTGCGACTTTCATGTTCTTGTCACACAATGCCAGTCTCTGTGTGCATGTAGTGAGCGCGTTCGGCCTGGGGCTCTCGCGGTCCAAGGATCCGGACCGGGCTCTCCATATTTTCGAAGATGATACGGTAGCAAATGAACATAGACGTTAACTTCCTCGAGAAGAAGTGAATCTAAGCTCTGGTACCCAAGCAATAACAAAGTTGAGCATTAGTGCGGTGTGGTATCCATTTTTCTTACTTTTCGCCCGACGGTTTGATCCTGAAAGGGATTGAATTTGTCTGTCCCGGACATTGACATGGATATGTAAAATACGGTCTCGATAGAGCCCTGGGTCGGACGCGGCGATTGTGGTCGGGTGCCATGCGTTGGAGCCGGCTGCCAGGCTGTGTGCGCCGCCGACGGGCGACCGTCTAAAGATCGGCCTCGGCGCCCTTCAGACACGTTCGCCAGCAAGGTGGCCGCCGTGCAAGACCGATACGCCGACGCCTCGGTCGGCAACGTCACTGGATCCAACGGCGTCAACGTCTTCCTCGGCATCGGCATCGCCTGGAGCATTGCCGCGCTCTACCACTGGTTTAACGGCGAGCCGTTCAGGGTCGCCCCCGGAAAGTGAGTCCCATGATAGATGGAAGGTGTCCAGACGGTAGAAGGGTAGATAAGTGTGGCACACAGAATCTGTTGACTGTGATAACCGTATGATAAGAAAGGCTGTTCGGTATGTTTTATACGGTGCTCAATGCGTGGGTGGTGCGCAGAAAGGAGGGCAGGGGGAACTCGGTGAAGAATGCGCGAAGTGCACCCGAAGCCTTTCTGTTTGTCACTATCGTCGCATGAGTCCCTATTGCCGCTTTCACATGGTTGCGTGATCACTGCCTGTCCATAACCTGACCATTCGTGTTTCAGTCTGGCGTTCTCGGTGACGCTGTTTTGCTGCGAGGCGGCCCTCGCCATCGGTTTAATGTTGCTGCGGCGACACAGGCGCGTCGGTGGCGAACTGGGTGGTCCGCGCTGCGCCAAAATCGCCTCCTCTCTGTTCCTCTTCACGTTGTGGGTAGTGTACGTGGTGGTGTCGGCGCTAGAGGCGTATGGAATCGTTCCTGGCTTTTAGTTGGCGATTTCGTCGTGCGCCGCCCGCCGCATGCCGCAGTATGCGAACTGTGCTTTGCTGCCGCGTGCCGCGGCAAGATGGCAGCACCTGTGCATCACGGCGCCGCTGCCGTGGCGTTCGTCGCCTGTGGCCTCCAAGGCATTCTAGGGCGGTGAAAGCTTTGTCTACTGAGGCTGAGCCGGCCACAGCGTATACGCTGTCGTACTCACAACTGGTGCGTGGAAAACAATTTTGTCTGATATTCTGGATACCTTTGGACTTTGACGAGACGAGCCGCTCACAGGTGGACGTTGTCGGCGACATGGCCATTATTTGAACGTGCCGGAGTCAATACTCGTGTCGACTGCGCTGGATGTGATTTCTACTAGTCATGGTATCCCTGTTTTGCGTGGAGGAATTACTTAATACTGATCGCTTTGGCCTCGTGCCCGAAAGCTCCGACATGACCGCTGACAATGATGCACGTAACTGCGTGCAGCGACCATGACACGACCACGAGACGCTGTGGACGGCGCATCCGTTGTAAGAGCAGCGGCTAATAGCGGACGCCGCTGGTCAGGGTGCGCGGTGTTCTGTTTTGTGCCTGCACGAGCAATTAAGCGGACGTGTGAGCAAATGCATCTGGGGCCGAGCCATGTCCAGCCTTGCCGAGTGCGCATGTGATTGGATGCCGTCTTCACCTGGAATAGTCTCGTCTCGTGGAGCGCTGTGCTGTGTAGTGGGGCGCTCAGGGGGTCTCGGATAACGCTTCCCCATCTGAGCACAGACGCTTGTCTGCGTCAGGCGCGGGACGGCTGGACCGCCTTGCCAGTTGGGTTTGGTTCGTCGCGCGTTTCCGCCGCTCCACTTTACGGGCTGTGGGGCCGTCTGATGTGCGGCGACTGGAACCCGTGGTCATGGGTGGTCGGCACTGCTGTTCAGACAGACGCCACGGTGTACCACCCACTCGGGGGTCCAGTAGCTTTCGTGCACGTCTCCGTGAGGAGTACACTCGCTGTTCTGTGGCGAGGGCTGCCCAGTTAATGGTTGTGCGGCTGCTGGTCGCCTCCCCGTGGTGTTTTCTTGTGATGACGAGCGTGACCGTGTTTGGAAAGGATCGCGGCTCTGGTGGCTGCCGCCGAGAGCTGGCCTGCTGCTGGACCAGCAATGTGCTGCTGCTGTTCGGTCTTGAAAACAGCTGCCGTTGTCCCGGTCTAGAATGGCCATCCTTTATCACCAGCTGTATGTGGCGGAGACGCGTAGTTTGTCTGCAGCGCCACCCGACGGCAGATTGTTGAATATGTCGTGTCAGAAACAGACGCCAGGGAAGCTGTTGTCGCGCTGGTCGGACGTCAGCGGTGTTCTGCGTGGCTAGGTATCGTCAGTATGCAGTTTTCCGCGGATCATTCATGTGTTTCTTGTTAAATACGTCTTGTTGAAATGTGCTACGCTGCCTCACGGAAATATTGACGCGGGATTGTGTTATTTGAATATAATTCAGGTGCCAACGTTGATGATGTTAACATCCGTCACACTAACGGTCCACGCCAACTTTGCCGCGGCGAGGGCTATGGGCATATATATGCCTTCGCTCTGGTATCTTCGGAGCAGAAAGGGATGAAGAACAGAGCGAAACGGCACTGGATAGCCCATGCAAGGCCTAACAGGATTTTCAACAAGCACGGCATTTTTCTGTTTGAAGTTTGTGTCAAGATCATCTCTGGTAAAATTACGTTTTTTCCCTGTTTGATGTTCTCCAAGTGATGTCTCTTGAACTGACTGCGTTAATCAATCTCTGACATCTAAGATGGCATAGTCGTAACGGTGCGCTGTCCATAAAGGGCTAATCCAATAATAACCTCATACAGGGGCTATTCAAGGATGTATATTCGCATCAACCAAGTGTGTGTTTATACCGGTGAGCAGATGTCATCGAAGCTATTCGATGTTTTCTTTCAAAGGTGCCTGCCAGCCAGGTTTGGATTGTTTTGTTTCGTTTCGTTTTTGTTTTTGTTTTTTTGCTGGCAGCAGCCGTGTATGGTGTCAGAGTGCATCTGCGCAGACTTGTGTTAGACTCGTTTCTTTAGTCGGGCTCAGGACTGACTCACATATTTTGGAATTCGATTTAGCTCACAATTCATAGGCCTTCCAAAATTTGGTGGTGGAACTAGAAGAGACACGAGGCGGGATCCCCATGTAGATCCGGAGGCCCTTACGGGGGCACCAGGTGATAACCTTGTTCTCCTCCCCGACGCGGGAGGCCTTCTGACCTGCGCAGTTGGTCGCGGGTCAAGGTGAAACACTCATTGACGCAAAAACATCCCTGATCACTGCACGTGGTCCAATAATTGTCACATGGATTCCAATTCCATATTTGTCTCTGATCTTCGGATACTTTGAGAACCCCTGGACGTAGATCGTAAACCGAAATGGGGCCCCCAAATTTGTACCGACATTGCCAATTCATGCTCCTCTTTAGGTGTGTTGCATTCGGTCAGAATAAACGACTAAACAATTATGTAATGTGGATGTGATCATGCGTGCTCGCAAATCTTAGCCACAACGGCCTTGACGCGTGGCGTTGCAGTCTCCGTAGGCCGCGCAGCGTTGGCCCTGCGGATGTGACGCTAAGCGATGGCAAATGGCAAATGAAAAAGGTGACGCACCTTCAGGAAGATGGCTGTTGAACTAGGTAAAACGGCCTGCATGTTTATGGTAGCATTCAAGTAGGCTAAACGCAACTTAAATCTGAAAAGTGGGGAAGGGGCAGCTAACATTGCTGGCCCCCACCATGAGAAGTGGGGGGGGGGGGGTCCGATGGGCCCTGTTCCCCCCCCCCCCCTGTTTCTACACGCATGGGTTTCTAGCTGAGATTTCGCAACATTTAGCGTAGGATGAACAATTTGTTTTTGCTACCATAGGGAACCATGCGCTGATTTTGTACAAAAAAACTAATGCTGCACGTCGCTCTTTTTCACAATTTGGAGTGGTCTGCCAATTCGTGTGGGGTGTGCTGTGTCTCCTAATGTTACCATTTTTATTTGAGCCATATAACGTCTGACACAACAATGTTAGTAATCATTAAATCACGATTCAGCCGATGGACTTGACGAAAAATGTGGTTCAGCTGATGACTGGAAACGCTAGTTTTCTAGTGAGTCAATTTAGCTCACGACTTTCCCATAATGATTTACTCATGAGGCGATGCATAATTAATTTCGAGTACAGCACAAGTCTGCATCTGAGTAGTCCTTGGCTCTCCGAAATCACATAACTATATTTGGTTTAAAATATCAGAACTCGTATAATATTGTGAAGCCTCTCCAAAGTTCTTTGGTCATGTGCAACGGTTAACAGTTCTTCCAAACTGGTATCCTGCAAACCTTTCGATCCTATAGCTCAGCGAAACTCTTACATGACTATTTCAGACTTTGGAAAAGGTTTATATGATCGTATACGACGGTGAGGAAATCTTATGAGACACTTCAGTGTTTTAACATGTTACATGGTCTTATAGCGTAGGAGAAGGCCTCATAAAACGGCGCAGCATTCTACATGTCCCATTTTGCGACAAGTCGACAGACAGACAGACAGGTGAAGGGCCAAAATAACACTCCATAATTTTGGTTTCGCTAGTAGTCTAGTCCATAGCTAAAAAATTGTCTTTATTGTTTAATACTATGGGTCATTGAACCCACAATGGTCTAATGCATATTTGGGCCATTTAAAATTTGTAAGTGCTCAAATTTTCAAGCCGTGACCACGTTACTTTAAGCATGCTCATTTTTTGAAACATTTTAGACATTCATAATGCTCTTCTTGAAACGGGAAAATTTACAATGATGTCTTATTTACCAAAACAAAGCTTAAGAGTGTTGAGTTTATCACATTCTTTCTAAAGCAATAATTTGTTACGAATATGACATGTATGACTAGTTTTATTTTGATTTCACAGATGATACGAATTACGAGCTCAAATGGCATGAAATGTGTGAAAGATTATGAATTCATGCAATTCATCTAAATAAGATAAAACACACACACACACACACACACACACACACACACCACACACACCACCACACCCACACAACACACACACCACACACACACACACACACACACACACACACACACACACACACACACACACACACACACACACACACACACACACACACACACACACACACACACACACACACGCGCACGCACGGACGCACGCGTGTATATATGTATATATATATATATATATAGATCTATCTATCTATCTATCTAT